TATATTATATTTTTGTTTGACAATTCTCATGTACACACACAACAATTATATACAAATGCGATTGTACAGCTAAGTGAATGAATTCGCCAAAAAGAGACTCTTCTCTGAAATGTGATATTCTTGTATGAATTTCTGACAGTTGATAAATAATCTTGGATTCTCTTGCTAAGTGACATCATGTTGAATGTGCATGTACATAAACTTAATTGATTTTTTAAGTTGTACGCAGCTGATGAGAAGCCGACGAGGTGAAGACTAGAACCGCCTTATTCTGTATAAACCGTTGTTTTTACTTGATTCAAATTGATAAAGACGAATAAGAACACAATATTCAGCGAAGAGACTCTTTTCAACGAATTTATTATCAAGCTGTACAATCGTATATATATATATGGTTTTTTTAAAAATTATATCCGGTTAGAGAATTAGGTCAAAGGTGTGAATACATGAAATTATAATAGTATGAAATGCAATAATCATAGTTTATTGTCAAATGGCAAAATAATTAATGTCGTATATAGAATAATACATAAGGTGTATAGATTTTGGAAAGGGGTACATAATTATAAGATTAGTAGACGAATATAAAATGTTACATAACATGGTGTGAAATCTGATGAGATAGAATTCAATATTGTAAAAATAAAAATATAAAAATTAATAATTTCGGGTTTAAAATGTCAAGTGGGTCAAGTGGAAAAGATTCAGAGTGAGAGTAGTAATAATAATAAAGATAATAATATTAATAATAATCGTAGTAATAAGGGAAGAGTACATAGGATAACTAAAAAAAAACAAAATAAATAAATGTCTATCCCTCTACGGCCAAGGCAGAAGTAAGGATTGTACATACTTCTTTTGTACACAAAGGTCTCGCTGGCTTAAAGTCATGAATTGCCAAGGCCTCAGCTGTCTTTAGAAGTCTGTAACGAAGAAGACGCGGGAAGTTAGCATGGATTCTATATATGATCTTAAAATCATGGTCAGGGTTGACAGAGTGACAGAAGTCGATCAGGTGTTCCAAAATAGAGCTTCACACACACTTCCTTTCTCCCTTGTAGAACCAAGCTGGAATATGTTCTCGTATCCGTGTGGAAAGCGTCCTCTGACTACTGCCAATGTACCTTGCTCCACAGGAGCAGGTGAACTGATAGATGCGCATGGAGGCTGCCAGACGGGGTAGCTTATCTTTTACAGAGGTAGAGAACAACTTGCGGCTAGTGAACGTCATATGTAATTTTGCTGCATAGAACGTCTTACTGACTGATTTAGAGAGACGATTTTCGAGCATATCTGAAGCTTGATCACCTTTGAATTCCAAGTTCATGAATAAGGTTTTCTTTGGAACTGTGTCGGTGACCAGTTTAGACTGCTTATCTTTCATGTTGCTGTCAATAAATCGGTTAGGGTAACCGTTTTCTGCGAGCGTGGCTTTTAAGAAGTCAAGTTCCGAGTCAACGGAATAAACCTATCAAATTTCGCTCAGTCAAACTTTTCATTTTCATGTTAAACAGTTCCAGTTGAAAAATAACGATGATTTTTGCTGGATAACTGAAATACTGACATAATAATATAAATGCTAATAACATCTTTATTCCCACATCTCATACTTTCCAGCCTATACCGAATTATGGCTTAGAATGATCACATTTTAATTTTGTCAAGAAGTAACTTTTCTACTTCAAGTAAATTGAATAGAAATAACATTATACACACAAAGAATTTCGGATGATCTGAGAATTTAAGACCGAACTATCTTTAAAAGGCGATCTAGTCTAGATCTTTTGAAATTATTAGCGTTGAGGAGGGAAAATGAACTTAAGCATCAAAGGAACTTCTTAATTCACTCAAATAGAATTTTCACGATCACTTTCAATTGTTAAAAAGAAAAGAGAATTTGAGCGTTTGCCATTTTAGTAAACTACTATCCCACCTCTTCGTGTACTTCATTAAGTCAAGTGTGGGTAAGTACGAGAAGTTGGCATAAAGAAGTTGACAATTTATGAATTAAAAATAATTTTGAATTTTCAAGAGTTTGGTTTGTAAGGATTAGTTTTGTTTCTCGAGTTTGACCACGGATTGATATCAGTTAGAGAACCATTGAAAACCGGCAGGGAGTACTGGACAGCTGTTCCACCCTAGTTTGCGAATCTTCGGCAGTACGCACCCACTGGGGTTCGAACCCAAGACCTTCTGGTTACAAGGCAAGCTCGTATACCATTCAGCCACTGGGACCCGATTCAATGTCCCATGAATGGTGTATGAGCTTGCCTTGTAACCAGCAGGTCTTGGGTTCAAACCCCAGCGGGTGCGTACTGCCGAGGATTCCTAAGTTTTGAATTTGTTTTTCTCATCACCAGACGCAGATGAATGCAATCCTAAGTACCAAATACAAATACCAAATAAATGGATTTGGGTATCTGAACAGCTTCAAACGTTTCAAAAATGTGATATTCTAACAGTCTTCATTAAAATGTCTAAGTTCTCGTTAGCCTATAAATAACTTCACGAAGTAACCAAGGTTTGGTAATTACATAACTGTCTCTCTTCAAGTATTTCAGCTTTGAATTATATTTTCTTACAATTATTATTACAAATTTAGGGTTGTCTTGGTTAAACTCTTCTACTTTTCGTTCATTTAGGAAAGCCTAATATATCCGTATTTGTTAAAAGTCTCTTTCATGATGGTGTTCTCCAGTGAGACATCCGATACAGATACTGTGATACCTCATGTACCGCATCGAAAATCTAGCTTCAACGAGATAACATACAGGTTGTGTTAAGTCCCTGGAAGTCTTCATCATTGATGTGTTGTTCCTCTGAAAGACCATAAAAACAAGATCTCACTGAATCATTTCAAGTAACATACCAGTATGTCAGCTTAACAGTAAATTTCGTATGCTTTTATTAAGTAGTTTTTTAGGATCACCTTTCATTTTCTGCAGCCATGCTGAGATCAAATTTTATTTCTGACACAGCGATCACTGTTATGCTACTTAGCATCTGTTGTTTGCCTTACAAGACAAATATAATATGATTAAAATTAAATACAAATAACAAGGGTTACTACTGGAATGATACGTATTTCTTCTTCTTTAGTAGTACACAGCTGAACCTGTGTAGTGTTATCTGGTTGATGGTGACCAGCAGTGTAACCCAGGACGCATGTTCCATCCTATATGAGATTGGTTAGCTGGGGGTGTTGTGTTTTCTGACTGTATATGAATTTCTGAACAGAGTGTCAAGAACTAACTGGCTGTAACTGGTATTGTAACCGAACATGATACAGTGGGTAGTTCTTTTGAAGTTAAAAACAAACATAGAAAGTCCCTGCAGGACACAGTGAAAGCAGCTAGTTAATTTGATTATGTTATTAAAAACACCAATCTAATTGTTATAGAGTTTTTGAGCTCCTTATAACTTTCCGATTCCTACTAATTCAACTCATCAGACCTCGAATTCAGTAGGGTGTGTTTATTCTTTACATGAAGAAATACAGACTACGAGAACCAGGAACTACAGCTAACGGGTGGATTGCAAGCATTACCTGCATCTAACAATAGTTTGAGGATATTTTACTCATTTGATCCCTTGCCGAAAACAAAACTGGTATGACTGAGTTCCTGTAAAACGAGTGAGACAACAATGAAAAGCAATTAAATAAAACGATCAAGCTGGAACAGATCTGCTGCCCGTGGATCTACTGTTCAAGTCTTTTTAAAAGGACTACATCACAATTTTTGCTTAGCCTCTACCGCAGAGTGGCAGATAATTATGAAATAGAGTTTACGCGCTTTCCTGACCATATTTTCGAAGTGATAGAGCTTTGCAATGGAGTTTTTATGTAGTATATGCCTAGCACTGGATAGTGGGCTGTGGATATTTGATGAACTCGATTAGATCATGATATGATACATTGAAATTAAACATACAACACATGTGTGTGTGTGCTATCAGATGATTAGGTGTCTTAACATGGCCATGGAGTTTAAGTTAAATTTGTGTTTCCCGTTAATCAGTTATATTAGGCTGGAATATTCACTCCCAGTACGGACACCTCGACAGTGTCTGAGGATTAACTTCATGTTATTTAATGGATAACGCCTAGCAACGGAATCCGGGTATGCATTTCTCCCTCTTTGGGATTTGTTGTCTGAATGACCTGCCCTTCCACGTGAGTAATGTTGTGGATAAAATTCTGGTATTTAAAGCGGTGGGTGCTGGGTTTGAGCCTCAGTGAGAACATTATTACTCACTGGGAATTGTAAGTACATACAGCTGACGAGTCCTAAATGGGACGAAATGTGCATCCATCTACATCATGACCAAAGAGTTTTATGGAACGTCCTAAGAAAAATATTTTAATTTAACGTAGACCGCAACTGTTGGTACTGGAAGAGTTCTGTTCATGTGATGGTTATATCAAGATAATGTACAAGTTCCATGAGAATTCTATATTCCTGAACTGAAAATGACAGCCACAGATTTTATTTCACGCTTACTTAATAATTTTTAGCACTGAAATATAAAAATCTGATCGAAATGTTTTTACTTTACATAAAGCAGTTAATCCAGTTTACTCTTGCTCGTGGATATTAAAATAAAAGTTGAAGCTATTTCACTCATTTTTAACATGAAATTTTTAATACAAGAAATAATAAGAAGCTAAACTGTTCACTTATTTTGCAAGCGAAAAATAATTTCAAATAATATCTACATTTAAATAATATATCGATTTAAACAAGATGTAAAGTATGTGTATCCCATTGAACATTGAATGTACAAGATAAATAATAATACAATCACTTTTTTCCACAGCTGAATGTGCAGTAATGAAACATCCTTCTGAATTTGTATTTATATGAGTATAACTGATACAAACAAAATAATAGTTTTAAGAGTGATTGATATCAATCACACAATTCTTGTTTCTGTTCATTCTATAGAGGATTGAAATTTAGGGAAATCTCGTTGTTGTTTTTTTCTGGTATATAGGCTGTCTATTTTTCATAACGTACTGGAATAACCATACCTTCTAGCAGGGCTTCTTTATCTTTAACAGCTACTGGAGTTGTAAATGAAGCAATCATTCTACCAACTTTTGGATATCGAATTAAACAACTATCTGAACAACAAATACAGTTACAACCAGTTGTATAGACGGTTGATTTTAAAGCGAAATTTGTATGATAAGCAGTCATAGCAATCAATATACCAGTTCCATAAATATTACGATATGGTTTTTCACTCAAACGGAAACCAATAGACGTGAGCATTAAAACAAACATTGGAATATTTAACAGAATGAATGTTACATAATAGCATCTTAAACGGTATGTCATTTTCTTTTCTCCGTTAATCTGCTTTTTACTTAATGCAGAATAGTAGAAGGCAGTGATCACAGAGACGGTTGGTAGGGTGATCAATACAACCAAATCGTAATAAAAATAAGAACGACACATTGTAGTACATCTAGCCAAAATCATACCGTCTACTTCTTCTGGTTCAAATGCAGCAATCGACGGCAGAGTAATTAGAAAAGAGGCTATATAAATGCAACCTGGTAGAATGCGTTTACAGCGGTACAGAAATTGTTCAGTTGGTGGAGGAATTTCAATCTTGGGTTTTTGTTTAATCTGTGCTGCTTTTTCTGGTGTGTCGTTGAGCAATGGCTTATCGGTCACTGTTGTATTCGTAGAACTATCCTTTCCTGTATCAGAATTCATTCCGTTTGCCATAGGATACATAAAGTTGGCTTGGTTATAAGCATTCACTTGATTTATGTAATTGTTCATATTCATTGGCATTCCATAGCCCATTCCATACCCCATATTCATTGCATATGGATTTGTTTGTTGGCCGACAGCTCCTCCGGGAAACATGTTATAACCATCTGGCATAACCATCATTTGTCCATAAGGATTCATTATACCATTTAAATTAGGTACCATATCAGGTGGCAACTGGTTAATCGAGCCAGGAATCAACGGCTGCGGTGCAATCAGACTCACTCCACCAGCATTGACAACTGGAGTGGGTATGTTGTTCTTTTCATTCAAACCGCCTGAATTATTAGTTGATGACGATTTAGGTGATGGTACTGAATCACTAGTTGTACGAAAACTCTTACCGGATCGTGATTTACGCCTTTTATCAGCATAACCCCATTCGGTAGTTCTTCCTCGACCAGTTGGCTGTTGTTTACTATAACGTTTTGGTGATGCTTTAACAGTTTTAGTAACAGATTTTCGTCGTTGGAACAGTACTTTTGTATTTTCGTGTATTTTCTTACACTGAAGTTCACATATGAAACAAATGTGCCAGATTAAGTGTATAATCGGTGTACGATAGACCCAATAGACAAGGTGATAAATAGTAGCAGTTCTAGTGAATAAATCGAAAAAGAAACGCGTCTGTGCCATACCCCATCCTAGGATAAAGTATTTGTGCATTGGAGATAAAGGTGTGAATAAGGGTCTTGAAAGAACACTGACAACAAGTGGTAAACTTGAACAAGTCAGCACAAAGAATTCTGGTCGTTTAGGGAAGCTTATTCCACTACGTCGTAGGTCACAAATATTCAGAATTCCATGAGTTCCGAGACATTCTGAAAGAGAAAGAAAACTTTATCAGTATTCACATATAATGGGAAATGTGTAAATTAAGTCACAATGAAATATTCTGAAAACAAGTGTCTCAAAAATATAGTCCCCTGAACTGAGTAACTAAACTGCTTTATGTACAGAACTATATACTACTGACTGAATGAAATGAGTAGTTGGATAGCACTCATTTAAACTAGTAGTGCTTGCTAGCCAGATCGAGGCGATCTAAACACCGGACTGCTGTTCAGCTACTTTGGGGCAATTAGTTTGATTCAGCTCAGAGAATCGAATCATTTCAAAGCACCCAATTTCTGGCTGGCCAGCTACTTGGACGAACTGGCGTTACTATAAATCGAATTCACTATTCGCAATGTGCACAGTTTGAAGGGTGAAAATTTCACCCAAATTATTCAGATCACAGCATGTGATCTGCTTCATATCATAAAGGGTAATCAAGAAGGCGAGCATGTTTGTATAATTTGGTTTCCAAAGGGAACTATGAAGAAAGTTCACCCCTCGAACAGTGTACATTGCAAATTACTAACTAATCTGCAGAATGTGAATTCGATTTAAACTGCTGTATATTTTCATTTTTCGCCGGTAGTTTGCTGCTAATTTTCTGATTTGATCTCTGAAGTTTCCATGTAGAGATCTAAGAATGTATTATTTTATGAAGGTTACTATTGCATTATTATTGTTTCCTGTAGTTCCTAGAGGAATATAGGGCTTAAGACGCATATCGCCATTGCATTCGGTTCTCCGACAACATTCCCACCTGGCTCCAGGTCTGCCCACATGCTTTCATCTCCTCTTCACATGATCTCCTCCATATCATCCTCACACTGAAGACCAACTCGCCGCTCCACATTCAGTCGGCTTCCACTCGAGCGATGGCTTGGCGAGTGATGTCACTCACTTAATGGTTTGTTTTCTCAGAGTATGGCCAATTGACCTACATTTCCTCCTGCATATTTGTTGTACAGTTGGTTCCTGCTGAGTTGGTTAGCTCATTGCCAGAGATCCCTCCCTGTTGCTGATCTTTTCCGGCCATCTGATCTTGAGCGACGTATTGAGCGAAGACAGCTGTTGATGAAGGTGTGTAGTTTGTTTGAAGTGGCCTTCGTGACGCGGTGCCAAGTCTCTGATCCCGTATAGTAAGTAGCACTGACTTCACATTGGAGTTGAAAATCCGGATCTTATTTTCATTTTCATGCTGAATGCTGTTGTCCTCCACACAGACTTGAGAGTAATGAAAGCTTACCTTGCTTTCCCGATCCTCGCTCTGATACCTCATCAGTTCCATCTGTCTGTATTTGAAACGATGCTTCCCAGGTAGGTAGGTAGGTAGGTGAAGGAGGTTGCTTCTTTCATGCTTCTCCCATTCATGTTGATTGTTGTCTGTTGTTGCTGTTGGCCAGGAATCTTCATCACCTCCGTTTTCTCCATGTTCGCCTGAAGTGAAGTCCTATGTTTGATGCTTCTGCTTCCAACTTGTTGCTCTTCACTTGCATATCTTCCAATTTGTGGAAAATCAGACATATATCATCGGCGACGTCCAGATCCTCCAAGTTTTTTCTGTGTGGTCCATTTTATGCCTGTCTCCTCGTGGAGTGATTTTATTTCGCAGTGAGAATAGTTCACTCCTCCTCCTCCTGAATTCACATTTGGAAGTAACTTCTTAAATTAAATTTGTTACTGTTTATTACCTAGATAACTCAATGGATTAGTTTCTACTGCGACTTAGAAGTTCTGTTTCACTCAGAAACGAAAGCTAGGATGATCGATGATCAAATCTACGAGCAGATAAAATGCACACCATTCAGATCATCGATATCAGGACTAATTGCTGAAGACGTTATGAAAGGTTAGATATGATAGCTCTACTCATAATCAAACTAAAAATCTAGGTACATTATTTTGATGATACATTTGGGATAATAAAAAGAAATGATTTGAAATACAACCACAAATTAATCAACAACATATTCAACGATATTAAATTTACAAGTGCAGAAGAATTAGACAACAAAATTCCATTCTTAAATGTCTTAATCAAGAGAAGAAACAAAGGAAATTCAAGAACACAAGTATCCTGAAAAGCAACACACTAAGATCAAATACTCAACTATTATAGCAATAACTTAATGACTCACAAAAGAAACTGTGTGCAGACATTATTTAAAAGATTTCAAACCGAAAATCCTCAAGAAAAAACGAAAAACCATACAATTTCATCAAAAAATGTTTAAACTCAAGAAATTGTTCTCAAAAACCTCAAGAAAATCAGTTCCACCATAATGTGAAGAATATCTCTGAAATAACGGCTGGAATAGTGATACCATTTGAGATGGAAAAAACACACCGAGCAAAATGGTCACATTATTGAATATTGTTCAGACCGAAGGATCCAACAGCCAAAGAAGACAAGATCAATACCATTTATAAAATAAACTGAATCAACTGCAATAAACACTATATTAGTGAAAGTGGGCATTCCCTTCGACTAAGAATTCAAGAACATAAATTAGCTCTGAAAAGACATGATATGTAACTTTCCAAATCGATACATGTAGACAAATATGGATACACATTTGATTGGGGAAACACAGAGATTCTAAACACAGGAAACACCGAGAATACCAGGGAATTTCCAGAAGCTCGGTACTCAGCTGAATCAGCGGTTAACAGACACACTAATATGGGTCAAATTTACCAACTAATAAGGAATAAATCACCTGACAAGAAAGTTCAAATTCAAAGTTAGGAAATACACTTGTATCACCTATGGGAAATCTAAACAGCATCACTTCATACTAAAGCTTGCGAGGAAGACGTTTTCTAGTATCACAATGATAAATCAAAATGATGGTAACTTTCCACGTATTTATACATTACTGTATTATCACCCTTATGACAAGGAAAAATGAAAGCGGGTGAATAAAGGGAATACTATCAACAAGGGAAAATACTTGATATTTGAACTGCCTTCATTACTTTCTGATTGGCATTTATCTTATCTCTGTAGCTGATATTTTTTCTTTTTCATAGATCATCTTATGGGAAACATAACTTAGTGGTCCCAAGATATTTTGGACGAAAGAAATCATATTATTGAACCATTAACCTTTTAAGATGACATGGAAGTATATTCACTAACCATCTGTGGAAATATATGTATGTATTTACTGAATAAAAATGCATAGGTGTAAAAATATATTCTCTTGGTAAAGTTACATCAAAACATAAATATTTATGTAATAAATGTTAACAGTTCAGGATTATAGAAATTTATTGAATTGTTTAGGGGCAATCAAAAGGCATATAAATCTTATATGAAATAATATGTGGAAATGTGTTGTATTGCTATAAAACAGAAGCGGAATGGTTAATAAGATAAAGGGAGCGAATAAGATATATTATAAATGCATAAAAGAGAGAGAATGTATATAAATATATATATGTTAGTGTTAACCTTTTCAAATATTCCTCTCTCAGTTCAAAAACTATCATTTAGAGAAGATAAAAGTGTATAGTTATATATTTACTTTTATATGTATAACTTTTAGACCTTATGTATCTAAAGCTACTCTGTCACATTAGTATTGAAGATGTAGTTTAAATATCTTTATCAGTGAGCTTACTAGTGCTGTAATTTCATTTCCATTTAATTGGCTAATTCTTTTCTTGAAAAATCACGTCGCTAACAATGTTTTCGTGGGGAGATAACTACAGTTGTGAATTAAAAATCACTATGCTCTACATAATGTGCGTCGGTGGCACAGCGGTAGAATGCTAGCCAATCACGCATGTGGTTCGGAGTTCGATCCCCAGCCGACGCACTCCTTTACCTTGCTAAGCCAGTAATAAGACTGGTAAACAGGGAAGGTTGGCTATGAGGCTAACAACCCTATCCCGTAGAAATAAACACCACTGCTACCGAAACTTCAGGCCTCTAGCTTGAAGCCCTACGTTCCACTGGGAACGTAAAGGAATAAAAAAATACCATATAATAAGGTTCCTGAAAATTCTCGGCACCACATAGTTCTTTGTTCACCTCTGGTTTCTAGCTCTAAAGACTTAGTGTAATATATAAATATAGAGATAATAATGTTTATAAAAGTGTCCTGAATTTTAAGGTAAATTGGTCACACACTGATTTCCTATAGGTTACATAAATAAAAAAATAAATAGCGATTGGATTTCCTTGAATTTATCCATATTGAGTGGTTCAATATACGTCGTATCGAAATGTTTTATTTGAATTTGTACCTTGAATATGTGGTCATTACAACTAAGAAATGCAAAAAAAACATTCCTCATTACGGCTACTTCAGTCTTGCAGGTATTCCCCTAATACACAGTCTAAGATTCCAGACAAAATGTCTAAGTCAGCTTATGATGTCCGTCACCATTTAGATCCATAAAAAAGACTTAAATTTGTTAAAAGTATCAGTGTTTCATCACTTCATCTGAAAAATAGAATAAATATGAATACAAAACATTATTAGATGCAATGATCTTGTAGGATAAGTTTGTTTAGCTAGATCTACTTAAACCCCGCGTGATTCAAATTAGAAGTAACAACAGAGACAGTCAATAAGTCGAGCATCCGTTTTACAGTAATTTAGAAACAACATAACATTCAAGTTTGTTTTTATAAAAGCTTTTGTATTTCCCAATGAAAGAAAAACAAAACGATATTGTTTTTTTTACTGACATTTCACTATTTAATACTAATAGCTTTATCAAAGTATTATTAAACCAGAATTTACAAAATCTCAGCTTATATGTAGCAACTTAATCATCATTCTTTAGCATGAGGTAATTTATATGTTATTGTCAATTTGGCTACTTGGTAAAGATTTAAAAAACATATTTTGTAAATTCTGGCTTAATAATACTTTGATGAAGCTATAAGCACTAAATGGCGAAACGTCAGTGAAAACAATATCGTTTTGTTTTTCATTTATTGGGAAATACAAAAACTTCATACACCGAATGC